CTAGTTTCATGTGTTAATGTGAGGAAGGTCACAGCCTCCTCATCCCTTCTCTGACATTTAAGTCACACGATTCATTCACCAGGTCTGCTTCCACTGCACTTTTACAGTTTGCTTTTATTATTACACCGACGTTCCCACTTCAGCCAGGTGCACCGGGTTGTGTGATATGTCAAGATTTTAATTTCTAGGTGGATGGAATCACCTGATTTCACTGTTCATCCATTGCATTTAGCCATTTATCCTGCATTTCTTTGTCCACTTGCCAACTATTGTTCACTGTGCGAGTACGACTTCCTTGGAATTACTGTTTAAACAATCTGTACAAAGTCTGTTTTACTGATTCATCGCCACTCGTGCAGTCAGGAGGTCAAGCCACTGGGCACTGGTGTTAAATACAGGGCGGACAGATAACTAGGAACTGGGAGTGGGTCTGATAAGTGCATCATTTCAGGGTCATAGAACAAATTCCAGGTCTATCTGTCAGACAGCTATCTGATTACACCAGAGACAGCACAGCACCAGCCATTTTCCTAAAGCCCTGCCACAGTATTGACCATTAGATACAGTTAAGCAGGCGGTCAAATAACGCAGAGGGGAGTTTAGACATCTGTTCGTCTCCAGAGGAACGCTCCATGGCACAGCTAGCTGCTTGTTTCTGACACAACCTGCTACTAGCTCTCCTTCACCTTTGTACATTCTCATGCACTTTCTCAGCCGTGTCACTTCTTATCTCTACCCGTGACGCTACCTTAAGTCAATGCAACGCTATCTTTTCAAACAACGTCCTCACAGGTACACGACAGACTGACAACCTGGACATCTGGCATGCAGCATAATGTGGACTGACACAGGAATGCAATAGCCAATAGCAGTCAGACTCATTGTTCAGCCAGTTTCAAAGTTCATATTGTGAAAATGAGTTGCACAATCTCCAACCACCTGTCTACACAGTCACAGGACAGGTGTGTAGCTCACACCTCCCCCCCAAGTCAGTCTATGCTCTGCAAAGCACATTAAAACAACTGTGCTTTACCACGTTGACAGCCACCACAGACCGGATCGCTTTGTTTTAATGCCGTCATGTGGTGTGTCTCAGTCTCTGTAAAAACATGACCTCACTTTTCATTGCGTAACCTGTATTTATACAAACAGGTCAAATGACCTGCTAAGAAAAACATCTGCTGACTAGAAGAACTTCACAAAAACACTTCTACAAGGAAGTTGAAATAAACAGCCATGTGCTGACTTTCACCAACTCTTAGGTCAATAAGCAGCTGTGGCATTAACCTGCACTGGACCATGATCGCTGACCGTTACCTCAGGACTCCTGCCACAAGATGAAGCAGCACTAAAACAGCCATCACTAGAGGAATGAACAAGGACAGTCCTACGAGATGAGAGATCTGAACAAATCTAGTCTGTATGTCAGAGCGCAGCCACTTCCTGGTATTGTTCAGCTGCGGTGAAACCTTACAGGTGCTGGGAAGGGGTGGGGGCAGAAAACAAGAAATTAGGCAGTGAGGGGGAAAGGAAGGAGAACAAAGACCAGAGGTCACAGAGAAAGGTCAGGTGAGGAGACCGAGACAAGGAGGAAATGAAAGAAACAACCAACAGTGGAAGGAAACAGGAAGCCCACAAATGACGCTGCTGCAGATGCAGTTGGCTGAACAGCTCTGACTGAGGCAGCGTCATTATGCTGCTCACGCCAAGCAGGAGAACAACAGAGGAGATAGTCGAGACAAAGCAGCTGTGTGAAAGAGCAGAACTAAAGGCCACCTCAGTGATGTGTAGCACAGTACAGAGCACGTCAGCGGGCTGCGTTTGATACTGTCCACACACTTTGTCTTTTCCTGGAGACACAAGTGAGTTTCACCCAGTGGCGAGAACAGGCTCGGTCAGCTCAGCCAAGGTTAGCGGAGAACCCCAACAGCCTCCGCTCCAACGGAAACATCATGAGTCTCAGCTGACTGTGGAGGAACCGATGCTCGACTTCATCGCCCACAAACACTAGAATCAAATGTATGAGTGGTGTAGTATAATGAACTAGTCAGGCCGAGCCACGTTAACGTCTTTACTCAAGGAAGGTTTGGCTGTGGTTAGAAGAAGATAATGAACCTTTTTGATCCACTGATTCTGATGGGATGTATAAAATGTGAACCAGCCACGTCTTTCACTCACCTGTTTAACTCATGACCACGATAACATATTATGGAGAAAAGAACATGAATCCCAAAATAAGACTGTACCACCCAGCAGCAAGAAAATACTGCAGGAATTAACTACATTATTCAAGAAGCAAATAACAAATGGCCCGTCTGTCTGTCCTACAACCCATCACTCAACTTTATTATCATAAACCAGCAAATATCCATGTGAAAAGCTGGAACCAGAGAATGCTTGGCATTTTCGCTTAACAAAACAAATGATTAATCCACTAGTTGCAGCTCCAGCTCAAATGCAGCCTGTGTTTCCATGTTTCTCTTCTCAGCCCCATCACCTGAGTTAGAGGGATAATTCAGCCTACGAATGCACAAATAGGGCCCCACGCCACAAATAAAAGATTAGAAACCCTCCACATTTTTTTCAAGGAGTCTTGAGACGTCACAACGGAAGGCGGCTGTGGGCGTGCCATACTGCAACAGAAGCCGGAGGCCTACATGTAATCTGGTCCAGACAGGACCGCTGTCCTTCCACAGGCATGTTCACTCAGCCTCGCACACCAGCTCCCTGCCCACACTAACGTGCCTGCATTTCATTTGTCTGGCCTACAGCACAAACTCTCCTGGGGGCCCCGAGCGCGGACACTGCTGACACATAAACCATGGAATTCAATGACCTCTGCAGGGGGCTCCACAGCAGCACTGACACTGGCAAGAAGTAAGACCTGGGAACAGAAGCTGTTGCACAACGCATAGCCAGGACCCGATCCAACCACGACTCAAGTACAACAACAGGATGTGACACACTACATGACAAAGGCCAGGTATTAGCCAATAAACCTCAAGCAGCACAAAGTGTAGGCGTCTCATCCAGAGAAACAACCGTGACAGACTGCTGATAGAAAGGATGCACAAAACCGCGTGTGACTATGCACCACCTACTGTGAAGAGTATGCACAGTCACCGCTATGGCTGAGCGTCAAACGTTATTCATGAGATCAACTCACACTATGGCGCAACAGCACCTTGGCAGAAAATATCACTGAACAGAGGTGTGTGGTTCTGCTGTCACGCCCTCTGAGACCCAAACACTTTGCACAGCCAGCAGCACGTCTGGGTGGAGAAGTGCCACAGCGGCAAGCACTAGGATGGAGTGAACTCATGAGTGTGTGCAAGCACACAAACGTGCATCTGACATAGCACAGTGTTCATGTACACACACACAATGACGGGACAGCTTGGCCTCATGGGAACGTGACACCGTACAGACCTGATGAACATCTGAAATTGTAAAACCCATCTGAGATTAGCCTGAGTATGGTGCCGTCGCATTCATAAGAGGCTGGGAAACGTTAGGTTCCTGTGATTATTCACGTACCGGACACAGACTTCGGAGACCATTCTCTGCCTTCACTGACACACTTTGACACTTTGCATGGAAACTTCAGCTTATAAAACAACATGGGACTAATGAGGGCCAAGACTTTCAGACTAGGAGGTAACTTGTATTACAGCTCATAAAACATCCTGAGGCAAATCTGTGATTTGAGCCATAAATAAAACAGACGTAACATGGTTTGATATAGCCCATAAAATCTCCCGAGCCATGAAAGACTCTCGTTGCTGCGCTCACATTCAACACACTGTAATTAGCAGACAAACCTGGTCATTTTCATGTGCACTTCACAACCCGCTGTGGCTAAGACCTGGCTAATTGATGCAACAGCCAGTGCCTTTATTCCTAAAATCATTTCTCCTCTTTCAGACACAAGGCCAGATCCTCTACATGGATCATCTTACAGAAGGTTTCTGAGATTGGCAGACGTGCACTTTTACCACAATGACTGGAGTCGCCCTCATTCTTACCAGGTGTTCAAGTACCACATTTAAAACATTTGGGGAAAAGAAACACATACACTCTCCCTTACACCCAGTTTATTAGGAACACCTGTGTCAAACTGAGGCAGTCAACCCTCCTCCTATGACGTTCAGTTTGTGTTCACCTGTGTGGTCACGGTGGGGGCTGCAGGTTGTGTTGCTGTTCAACTAGACTGTGTTACACTAAGAGCTGGTTCTGGTGTTTATTCACTGCAATAAATGGACAAAATAATGGTAGCACCTGTCAGCATTAACCTGAGAGGTTACAGCCTTGAGGACTGGAGAGAGAAGGCACAGCAGACTCCATGGTTGACTCAAATACTGTGTAAATAAAACAATGCACAATGTTTGAGACCCATTTACTGGGTAAACAGAGGTGACTAGAACACACAGTTTAACCCACAGTGAACTAAACCAGTTTGCCACCAGCAGCAGCCTGGTGGAGCTGGTCACGGCGGAAACGCTCGGCGCCTTTTTCCCTCCGGTCCACCATCAAAACTACCGACGTCATGGCGCCAGCCCGACGTTACCGGGCACACACAGCGTCTGTAAACCTAAAAGTTTGTCCACAAACTAATCACACAGGTCCCGGTGTTGTTTCTAAGCCGACGGAGCCCCAGCTCTCCCTCGGGCGCTCCGGCGAATCACTTCCTGCCTCTGTCGTTAGCTTCATCTTCTCTACACAAGGCTGGGGCTGTTTTTGACCGCCCACGTCTAACCCATCACCCACAGCCCCGTGTGTTAAAGTTTAAGCCAGTTTTACGTGTATTCTAGCGGTGAAAAGTCGAAGAAACCCCTGGTTAAATCTGCGCAGGCAGCCCCACTCCACCCAGCACTGCTGGTGACTCGCAGCCGGGAACAAGCCCTGCGCTTCCTGGTTCTCAGCACTTGCAGGAGTCCGGGCAGTCTGAATGAAAAAGGTAGATACACGTCAGCCTAACGTGTTCGAACCGAGGGTATTACCTGCTTGTAGGGTGCGGGACGCCTTTCAGAGGGTGGCTAACAATCACCGAGTGGCGCAGTCACCGTTAAATCAAACTTCTTCCCCGTCGACAGCTGAGACTACAGGCTAAACCACTGCTCTCACTTCCTCCCTCTCTTTCTCTGCTTCACTCACTCTTTCTATTTTTTTTTTTCTAACTCTCTTCCTTTTGCCCTCCCTCTCCCACTGGCTCGCGCGATTTCAGCACGGGGTGCGGTCCAGGAGGAGGCGGGCCCAACGTGCATGTATCCGCCCGTCCGACCAATGGCTGCGGCGCTGTGATGATCCACACACTCCGGGCCAATCATGTTCTCCTGCATACTCGGAGGACAGGAGGGGCGAAAGGCGCTGGGCGGGGCACGGAGCGGAGAGGAGGGGGTGGAGGGGGGTCACAGATAAAGCTGTTTAATGAGAGAGGTATGTGCATACTAAGGATTTTTATGACCATATAAGTACCAGTCCCTCTGAGGATGGGCTGCATCATCACGGCTCTCCCCCATGTGTCAACTGGGTCTAGTCCAGTGGTGGAACAGTACTCAGATTAACTACTTCAGTGTCGTCACCCCCCCACCCCCGAGTCCTGTAGGAAGACATTAACAGTCTCCTGTGCTTTTCCACAAACACTCCATTTAACTTGTTTAGATTCTCAAAGGACATTAACTTTGATTTGAATGTCTACATATTGTTCATATTCAGAGTTTAACTGCTCAAAACAAGATGTCTCCTCGTTCACCAAGATGCCTGTTGTCGCCATGTGCTGCAAGTTTTAATCCTGCACATCACAGCCTTTCAAACCGATTAACTGGGATTAGCTTCCAAAATACTTGTGATGGTACAAATTTGCTCATAGGTTTTAATGTGGGTTCAGACAGAAGTTTCCCTGTAGTGTTACATTCTGCAAATACATCACATGACCAGGAGGCAGAAGACAACACAGTGAAGTTACATTTAAACAAAACATACTTTTGAGTGGTAGCATTACACAGGTAGAAATACTCTGCTATCAAAATCATTCAAAGTAAAAGGAGTCATGCAGAATCATGAGATCATTTACATGTTGATTATTTCAAAGTCAAAGGTCAAATATAAAGTAGATAAATAAGTAACACAAAATCTGAGAAACGACCGACCCGACTGTGGACTCTGAACTCTGACTGACTGATTGTACCTGCTGGACAATGACTGACTTGACACTGTGACTATCTCCTTTGTCTAATAATGTATATGTTCAATTGCAGGGGAAGTGATTCTCCCAGAATTCATGTCGAAGACCAACTAATTTGCTTTATTCCACAGGCGGGGAAAGCGCTGCTGTTGTTATAATGTAAAACAAACACAATTTTTTGTATTACTAATCTGAAAAGTAACAACATCTGTCATATATATATACATATATATATGTGTCGTGGAGTAAAACTACAACATTTCTTTGAAAGATTTGTGGAGTAAAAGCATAAAGTGGTTTAAACCCCCCTGTTCTGCTGTAGGTCAAACCGACCCATTGTAAAGTTAAAAAATCTAAAAACAATAGTTAAAAGTATTTTATTGGTATGAAATTTGTTCTGCTTGGCTTAATAGGTGTAATCAACATATAAAATGAAAATGGTTCATTTCACATATTTGCAACCTCCCCCTGCATGTTTATATTACAAAGATACTGTTCGGGTCAATTGGACCCTGAACAGAAGACGTGTCTCATGTTAATTTTTATTTTATAATAATAATAATGTATTTTATATGTAGGTCTTCCCAATGTACATTAAAAAAAGTTTTAACATGCATCATTGAACCACAATGTGTGAGAGGTCAAGAACACCACTGCATTAAATAGATTGAAATGGTTAGTAATGGTAAAGTTAACCCAGGAACATCACTGCTGTTCCTGACAAATGAACATAACAGGTGGCTTAAAATGGAAATAGTCAAATAAAGTACCACAGTTAATCAAGTAGAGTACTTAGTTACCTTCCAGCACAGGTCTAATCTGCTCTGAAAACAAGCAGCGGCAACCGATACTGTTTCAGTTGTACAGCTGCCAAATGTGAGACACGTCCCACACACACAAGCCTGTCAGACTAGTGCTCCTATTACTAATGTGTTTGTCTTACATCAAATACTTTCACTCCATACACAGCAGAGTATTTTCTTACTATAATAAAAACTTGGCAATGGTTTAGCCTCACTAAAACTGCACATGTGCCTCTGCTCAACATGCAGATTAACTTACAAGCCAAATGTCATAACCACAATCTACAGCCTCCAACACCTGTGTAACAAAAATGTATATTTTTGGAATAAAATATAATTGGAATAAAGAAAATTCATAAATGTTGTCTAACTCATAGCTCTGTTTGTCTTTATATGCTGCTTTCCCTTCTCTAAGCAGAGGTCAGAGGTCAGCAGCCAAACTTCTAGTGTCTGGCTCCAGACACTTTGGCAGGATGGACACTGGCCTGTAAGGCCCTGAACTACTGAACAGTTTACAACAATCAGCGATGGTCTCACTGTTAAAATAAACATTTGCATAACTGGCTGCTGGCTCCACCACAGGATTTAAAATGCTTTATATAAACTACTTCTCTTTGTTTTCTTTCGCTGCCTGAGTTCTTAAATGTAAAAAAAAAAAAGTGGATGGATTCTTTAAAAATGTTTAAATAAGCAAGAGTTGAAAAAAATCTGATACATTTATGATAATGGTAATTATAGATAAATATTCATGCATCTGTACTAATTAGATAAACTCAGACTTCTCCATGCTCCTCACAGCAGAGGAGCAAACAATATCTTCATCTCACAGTTTCAGTTTTAATTCGCTAACTGGTACAGTCGCCCAGATAGCCCAGTGGTTATGGTTTGAGTCTGGCTGCCCACCTGTGTTGCAGGTCCTCTCCCCTGTTTCCTGTCTGCCTCTCTGTGACACACTTTACCCCATAAAAACAATAAAGGCAATAATCCCCCAGAAATAACTTCCAGAAAATTCTCTAACTGGACCTTTAACCATGTTGTGTGCTCTTACACGTGAATGATGCATCAGTGTTTTGCATGTATGTAAATACACCAGTGCATCTAAGTGCAGGATTAGATCCAGACAACTGACAAATGTCAGACGTTTAGTTATGTTTATTGCTCTCAAGTTCCCATCATTCAAACAGGTTGGCCCAGGTTCGTGAGCAGACATGTTAGCTCTACCTGGGAACCGCTGCAGGTGATGCTCTAATTAACATGAGGTAGGTAACACTTGTTCAGCTTTTAAATCAACCTTGACGTTTGTTTTTCTTGGCTCTTCTGCACTTGCCAGGGGGAAAGATTATGGAGTAGCTCAACTAATTAAAAGATATTATGATTGAATTCTTTAAAATAAATATCCACATGTTAAGTGAACTGTAACAACTTAAGACCATATGTAATGAATGAGAGTGCATCGATCTAGCTGAACTAGCTGGTATAGAAGTCTAAACAGTTGGCAAAAAGTCAGATACATGGTTGAAATACTTAGTTAAAAGTAACAGATAGTTCAATTAGCTAAAAGTAATGGATAAATAGTTGAAAGAGTTAGCTAAAATTAACATATGACTTAGTTAAACATACAGTAGCAGTTGAAAAAGCTACAAATATTGGTAAACATTTGAAATAGTCAGCTAAAAGTAATGAATTAAAGGCTGGAACGTCAAACTTCTGCCGCTGGGAGGACAAACACAATCTTTACTAAACCAGCCTCAACCTGACAGCTCAGTTATATGAAGATGTACCAAAACAATACCGGCTTTTACATAACGAGTAGGGTTTAATAACGTGATTTAAAATCAGTTCAAATGAACATTTAAGAAACAAGATGAGTGGTGTTGATGTGGGGACAAACAAACGTTCTAATTGTTCCCCTCTTCACTTAGGAGATCTGGCCAGAAACTGATATATCACCATTATAGGTGCAATCAACCACACTTTGGACGTGTCACACAAACACAACTCTTATGCCGCTTTACTTCAAGAACTCACATTAATATTGCTATGGCAGTCCTGGCATCCTCTGAAACGAAAAGTCACACCTTCTGTTCAACGTGTGACTTATGTTCACCATGTGTCATTATGAAAGAAATGTGTCTGTGTGGCTTCCTACACATTTAGCAACTGGGCATCACATGTATGCAGAGCAAAACACTGACGATTCAGCACATCTGCCTGGAAAAACCAATAAACATCAAACTCTCTCTCTCTCTGGGATGGATGGGAAATATCCAGAATGTCAGCTGGGAGGTCACAGGTCACATGTCACCCGTTACTTGAGCAGGACCAGATGCTGAAGGGATAAGAGGAGGACAGAGATCAGAAGAGAGAGACAGAGGGAAATATTAAAATAAACAAATCTGAATTCAAATTTCAAAATAAAAAAATAAAAGAAAGCTTGTACTGAAAAAGGGCAGGAACGACACAACAACCGCACAAAACAAACAGAAAGAAGTGAAGGAATAAAACACAGGCATGAATGACCAAATATGGACATGTCTGACCTCCCGATCTCCCTCTCGCTGCTCTTCACCATGACCTAGTCTCACTTTCCCTTTCTCCTCCAGTTTGCTGTAATAGCAGCAGGGTGTGCCTGTACTTCGGGGCGTGTGAGGCCGTTATATCATCCAGTCACAAAGAAAGCAGCCCATTCATGTTAAAGGGTGGCATGTTAACTCTCTGACCGCTCTCACTATGTAATTACTTGTGTGATTTCATGTGTGTGGGTATTCACGCTCCAGTGTTTCGGTGGGAATGTGCATGTCTGTCCCTCACGCGTACACCCTGCTGACAGTTTACTACTGTAGGTACACCTAGCCAAGGCTGACGCAGTCTCATCCACCTTCCACCACCAAGAGGGATCAGACTGTGTTAGTCTGGTTATGTATCCCGTCCTCAGTCCGTTAGTCTCGCCCTGTTTCCAGCCTCCTTTCCTTAATGATCAGTACACAGGAAGCAGTGATAAGATGCACGTTGAGCCGCAGAGCTCAGGAATGTGGAGCAAAGGGAAAATACACCAAGCTTTGCTCCTTTGTTGACACGTCTCTTCACTCAGTTATCATCTCTACTGCTTTGACAACATCTCTGATGTGTTTCTCTAATTCAGTTGTCATCTTATTAGGTACACCCACTGCAGCTAAAATGAATACAACAATAAATCCTCCTTCGTTAAGATTTGTACTGTGTTATACAGAGAGCTGTATTTAGTCTGGCCTCACTGATATAAATGGGGTGGACACAATAATGGAAACACCAGTCAGTATAACGAACTCCAGGCTCCATCCACTAATCATACAGTCGAATCGACACCTCTGTTAAACAGTCTGAACACAAACTGAATGTGGAGGATTCACTGCAGGGTTGCCGAGGTGTTCCTAATACACTGACAACAGGAGATATGTGGGGTAAAGACAGGGGGACATAACAGGCCACAGTGGCTGCTTTGTCTGTCTGTGATTGGTATTTGTCTGGGCCAGGGTGCAGAGCTGACAAGGTGGAGAGCAGTGTTTCAAACGTAAATACAGCTATGTGTTCACTATGAACACAGCCTGCTCTCATGCTGTGCCAGATCAGGGTGTCATCACAGAGCTGCTCCCTGACAAACCTCGTGCACCTCATGAAGCGTTTGGCTCGTGGAGAGGCAGTTTCATTTCAAATGAGACCAGTTTCAGGCTCAGAGGAAGGCGTGCAAACTGGGGCAGAGGAGAACGGTGCAGATCTGCCTCTTGGCCCGTCTGCTCAGCAGCAGCCGCTGGCTTCCCCTTTTTTGCCTTATATGGTCACAAGAGTGGTTGAGTAAGAGAGGGCTGGAGGTGTGGTCTATTGTTTTTGGCGGAAGAGGTGTAGGGTTGCATGTTGCTCTTGAACCTTTGGAGCTTGTCGTCATCTTGTCAGCCACCTCTGTTGTGTGTGAGTGTGGAGGGAGGGCTGGCTTAGTTCACGAATGTACATTCTGAGGCCTCCCAAGAGCAGTACTGAGAAGTAGAGGCACAGGAAGCGGTTCACACAGGCAAATTGTGAACAAAGGTGCCGTCTTGTGATCCCAGACGTCTCACAACTTTTCAGGAATGTGTTTCATCCAGCCTATAACATGTGATTGTGCATCTGGATCACTTCCTTCATTCACACCTGCTGATGTAATCTCAGTGGAATTCCCCCGACTGAAAAACTTCACTGGGTCTCTGGCTGCTAAGGAGAACCTGTGCTGTGTCAGTTTATTAGGAACACCTAGCTCAGACTGAGTCAGTACTGCATCAAATCCTCCTTCAATGTTCTGACAATGTTCTGACAGTGGTGGAAAGTCACAAAGTACATTTACTCAAGCACAATTTTAAGGTACTTCTACTTTTTATACTTTACTTCTTGAGTATTTTCATTTTATTCCACTACTTGTCAGAGGGAAGTATTGTACCTTCTATTCCACTTTTTAGTCACTAGTTTACTTTTCAGGTGTAGGTTTCTCATGCTGTCAGCGAGGCTGTAAAAACGGGTCCCGGGTAGAGCCTGGAAGAAGCCAAAAAAGGTGGCAATGAAGGGTCAGGGGTCACTGAGACAGCACTGGCCTTTGGGGAACCAGTGGCTGAATTAACCCTACAGGAAGCTGTAAGGCAGATTGTGTCTTTGCAATTAGAAGTCTCAAAGGAACAACAAGAGGACCTGCAGGAGATATTTAAGGGAGCAGGGAATGAGGAAATAATAAAAAGGTTTGGAAAAGGAGATGGAAAGGTGTCGCTTGATCCATGATAGAAAGCACCACTGTGGAGGAAGAGGAGTACACGGAGGAGTTGGTGGTAAACTTGTATTCCCCCATCACACCCGGACCGATGGCAGAGGAACTAGCAGACGTCTGGAAAGAAGGAAAAGAAGAAAAGGAGGAGAAAGAAGAATATGTGGTTGTGAACGAGCTGGACTCCGAGGAGGAAGAGGAAAACACCAAGAGCAAATGGAAAAGGGAGAAAATGATTGAGAAAAGAGGATGATGGGTTTTTTTTCCTTTGTAAAACACTTGCAGCTGGAAGCTGCCTTGCTTTGCCCCTGGTAGTTATTTATAATGTCCAGTGATAACACACCCGTTTATTACTTTTGCTTTGATATTTGAAAACCACAGCAACACAGATAAGTCAGACAGCTACAGCGTCGGCAACACTGAGGTTAGTGTTGTAACTCAGCGGTTACAGTGAGGACAAAGTTTAGTGCCAATTAAAAGACAATACTGAGACTGAGTCTGTTTTATCCACTTGTTGTTGTGAACAGGTGTTAGACGTCCCAGGTAAAGAGTCAACAGTGACTGAAGATGATTTAGACAATGATCTGCAAACAGCCACATAAATAGACAACGGCCGTACGCACACAAACACAGTTTAATCTAATAAGGATAACCACCTTTATTGGCCAAGTATGTTACACACCAGGAATTGGTTTCTGGTACAGAACTGATGGCAGCCATCTGCGGTGCCAACTGAACCCATGGCTCTAACCCTCGGGGGGGTTCAGTGTCTTGCCCAAGGACACTTCGACATGTGGACTGCCAGCACCGAGATTCGAACCTTCAACCTTCTGGTTCGGAGACGACTGCTCTACCCACTGCGGCTTGGACCAGGGTATCGAACCCGTCACCAGTGGAACAGAGAACGGTCAGCTTGACCCTGAACACCGTCATTAAAGCTTCATATCTCTAAGTCATTACGCATACACAGTATTTTACTGCTGTATTTGAAGGTTCACACACAGTATTTTACTGCTGTATTTGAAGTGCAGCTCATTTTTAAACTGTTTCATACAGTGAAAGAAGAAATAATTGTGTTGATCGACTAATCAATCATTTCAGCTGGAATTCCAGAGTTTGATTAAGCCACAACTATCATTGTTTTTTGTTTTATAAGCTTTTCATAAGATTTAAGTTACTAGTAACTACGGTAGTTACTAGTAACTATGGATGTAAACACAGTGGAGTACAATATTTCAGAGTACAAGTATCTCAAACTTGTACTTGGGTAAACATACTTGGCTACACAGCACCGCTGTGTCTGAACTAGAATGAGACAGGCAGGTGGTTTGGCATCTTACCAAGCACAGAGGTCAGTTTATTAGGAACACCTGTGTCAAACCACGTCAGTCTGATCCAGCAGTGCTGCAGTGAATCCTCCTTCGTGACCGCGGTGATGTTCAGTTTGTGCTCCGACTCCTCAGACAGCTTCACAGAGGTGTGCACAGTAGGGATAATATCAACAGGGAATTATTGAGAGCTACTTCAAGTCCATTTGAAAATGTCCCTGGTGAGAAAAACGTAACTCTGTGTACTCAGATACTTCCTCCCCTCCATGTCCTTCAACCACACAAACATCAGCAGCTGACTCCAGAAACCTTCCAGTGCTAAAACAGCACCGGTGTCAATAAAGTCTCAGCACAAACAAAAACAATTCAAATGCAGAACATCTGGTTTCTTTATTACATCTTCTTTTCTGTATATAGGGTTCATTTCTGTGACAAAGTGAATCAAACCTTTCCTGCTCAACTCAGGTTCCACAGTCAGGAAACAGACACACACAGAAACAAACACATAAAAAGTTCTCTTCCTGTCTCACAGTTCTGACAATATCTGTGCAGAGAAACGCCGCCACCTGAAGGACAAAAGCAGGAACTACAGACCTCTGACAGCTTTAAGTTGGATTTTGTACATTGCTATAAGTATAAATGTTCATTCCTCATATTAAACAGTGTAAGTGCAGTACAGTTGTGTAGTTTCCATTCTTACACACTGGCTCAACTGTGAATGGAGCCGTCACAGTATTAGAGAGAGAGAAGTGAAACTGCAGAGAGATGCAGCACAGCGTGAACTAGTGTGAGGCACACACCCATCACTAGACAAAGAAACCAGAGTGAGACACAAGCACTGCGTCTAGGAATGGGTGTGAGCATTTGACCGTGTGCCAGCTGGAACTGCAGCTTGATTGTTTACTGGCAGCTGCTAAACAGGCTCAAAATGGTGGCTAATGGCTGCCGACCATACCAGAATCATACAGACGGCACCAGAAGAATGCTGAACGTCTGCTTTATTGTCCAATGACTTTGCTCACAAATGAGTCCAGCTCATCATCATCTTTGACCCCCACAAACTGGTCGACAACGTCTCCTCCCCGCATGGCGATGACTGTGGGCACTGCGGACACCTGCAGATGGAGAAGACGAAGCTAAAACAGAACAGCTGAGGAGATCCTTCATCTAGCGGTCATCAGTGATGGATTTAATCTGCTGCTGGAAGCACAAGCAAAGCTACTACCACTGTTGGTATCATTAATACTACAGCTGTAGTACTACGTGATGTAGAACGGTGGGAATCCACAGCCTGCCGCTGTAGTAAAAGTACTAGGTGTCTACTGAGGCATGTTGCTACTTGTACTGTCATGTTTTATCTTTATGCTTTTAATGTTCTATTCATCTGTGTGCACTGTGTTTGATGCTGTGGATGAAAACATGACATATTGTACGTTATTGGTTTTAAGTTCTAAATTGTGTACATAGAACATCTGGATTGTAATATATACAATTATATCCATTCTATTTTATTATAGCTTAGCATTTTAGCAGCTGTAGGGTTGGTATTATATTATTATTAACTTTAATTATTATTGCTATTATACACTGAGTATATATAAACACAATTTGCCGTTTCTGTTGTTCCATGATTAACTAGTGTTTCTACATATTTTGGTTTGTTGATTTTGAAGCAGACGTACTTGTTTCCATCAGGATCAATAAAGTCAGGTCTCATCTCTTAATGTAGTGATTTAACAGTAAACAAATGCAAACGATGCTCCTTTAGACAAGTCTTATAAAACATTTAACTTACAGCAAACAGTTGTGATGTTTCAGTGATACAGTAACCGAATGTGAGGCGCAGGACACCACACACAGGTCTTACCCCGTATTCAATAGCCAGGTCAGTGTGATCATCGATGTCCACTTTGGCCATGGCCACACGGCCCTTCTGCTTGGCTACAGCCTTCTCCAACCTCGGCCCGAGGATCTTACAGGGACCACACCACCTGGAAACACACAGACAGCTGATGTCAGTGACAACACCTGAAAGACAACAGCAGTAATCAGTACGACTTGTACAAGGACTGTTTGACAATAAACTAAAGCTGTTTACTGGGGCACACCACAGATGTTGGACAGCGCTTCCATCAAGCTGGAGGACAAGGGACAGACTAAAAGAGGCCCGACTCCCTACTATGGGTCACGCTGCAAAAACAGTGGATCCTCCATTTACCATTACGCCACTAAATCACTAAATCTTGCCCTAGGCCCGTGGTTCTCAAAGTGTGGGGCGCGGCCCACTAGTGGGGAATAAAGACATGACAGGTGGGAAAATTAGAAATGGGTCATTAATACAAGTAAATTAAAATAACATCAGTTCAGGGCCTGGGAGGAAAAAGTGGAACCATAGTGCAACAATAACGGTTTAACGTTGTCGTGTTAACATGTAACAATATAAGGAAACGTTCACACAGAGCGCCAATAGTGTACGTAGGGGGTATAATAACGTAAATGGATAAATGTGTTACATGGACCACAAAAGAAGGTGATTCAGTGCAAGCAGACAAAGAAACAGCAGGCAGTAGCCTTATCAACCAAAACGCCATCTGAAAAGGAAATATGACGAATAGTTCACGGTGGGAACGGTGGGGGCAGAGGAGGGACCCATGTGTGTCGTGTGTCTTAAACCACTGGCAGCAGACGGCGTGAGACCCAACAAATTAAGAAGACATTCAGAGACAACACCCCCCAGTCACGTTAATAAGCCACTAGACTGGCAGAAAACCGTCAGCAGGCAAACCGCCTGGTAAGTAAAATCCACATCAGTGAACAGCAAAGCACAAATGGCTTCATTCAAAGTTGGATACATTTGTCCAGTGCTAAAAACCACACACACACACACACACACACACACACACAATAGCTGAGCAGCTCCTTCTCCCTGCTGCTGTAGACATGGTGTCAGTTATGCTGGATGAGACAAGAGCTGCAAAGCTAAACTATCCCTCTGTATGTATATTATATTTGATCTGTTTTCAACTTGATGTTATTTGATATTTCAATAAGTTTGATATTTTAAAATTGGCCGATTTCGTTATCATTTTGTTGACAAGTGGGGCTTGAAAATTCACCCACCCTCTTAAGTGGAGAATGACAGAAAATGTTTGAGAACCACTGAGCTAGGCTAAATGGGGTGTACAAAATAAGAGGAACACCTGTCAGTATCAACAACCTGCAGCCTCCACCGAGGTCACACAGGTGAACCGGCACCTCATGAAACAACCCGAGCACAAACTGAACATCACCACCTTCATGAAGGAGGATGTACTGCAGCGCTGCTGGATCAGACCAGCTCAGTTTGAGCTATGTGTTCCTAATAAACTGATCACTGAGTGAGGTAAGTTAGGCTGGTCCTCCCTTGGTGAGGAACTCACTGTGCGTGGAAGTCGACCAGCACCGGCAGCTCGCTGTTGATGACCCTCTCTGTGAAGTCCTCCTGGTCCTGAACGTTGAAGGAGGCGTCTCGGCGTGAGGTGTGAGGCAGCGAGCGAGGCAGAACGCGTGAGGCGAAGAGGAAGGAGGCCCGATCGTCCGACCGCAGGGAGCTTGAGAAAGAGGAGGTGGTGACAGTGGTGGATGCTGGGAGGCGGCAGAGATCTTTAGTAGACAGTGTCCAGATCCTTCGTACCAGCAGCCTGTGAGCCATCTGCGTCAAGGAAGAGACAAACCGTGTACTTTTTACTACACTACATGTACCTGATACCTTCAGGTCCAGAATCAGATGAGTCAAACCAAACCCAGTAGAACCATCAGACTCTATTGATCCCAGTAGGAAATCCACCAGCTACCCAGCAGGATGGAAAGTACTTCCCAGTATAAGTATATAAGGTAGTTACCATCAGCTCCACCTTTACCAGTGATGGACACAGTAATTAGTCACTATGATCCAGTATCAGAGACGTTACTGGGACACGGGCTGTTCTGCTGGACCAGTACTGGTACTGATGGTACTTTAAGTAGATTTGGAGGCTGATACTTTTGTACCTTAAGCTACGTTTTGAATGTAGGACTTTTACTTGTAACGGAGTATTTTTACTGTGGTACTTGTACTTTCACTTAAGTAAAACATAAGTACTTCTTCCACCACTGAAGTACAAGCAGCGACCTTTGGTTTATACTTCAAATAAATGTGGACGAGTGAGGCTGAACACGTCGTGTGCTTCACGTACAGTGTACCCACCAGCTCCTCCTTCGACCTACGTTACGCGGGACTTTGCCCTCTTCGTCCTCCTCTTCCTCCTAACCTACGCACGCGCCTCCACCCGAGCAGCCCGACCCCCAGACCCAGATCTCACCCGCGCCACCAAGAATAACAAAACGAAGCGCAGGTTACCTTGCTGTGCAGCTGAAATAATGTCGGCCTCAAAGACCTCCAAGCGCTTCCGCTTTGATGACGCACATGAGGAAGAGAGCGAGCAGGTTTCATCGCCTCGTGGCTGCAGCGTCGCCACCTGGCCGGGCGAGGGAGCGCAGGGCGGCGCGTTGACTGAAGGAGACAGGAGGAGGTCGTCGGGTCAGAGGAGGAAGGAGTACTCAGCTTCTTTACTTCAGTACAGGTAGTAATACCACAATGGAAAATACTGTATTGCAAAAACGTCCTGCATTCACAATGTTACTTCAGTAAAAGTACAAAAGTATCAGCATCCAAATCTACTTGAAGTACCATCAGTACCAGTACTCGTCCAGCAGAACGGCCCATGTCCCAGTAACGTCTCTGATACAACAAACAAAACAGAAGCAAACTGACAACACATGTGCAGCCAAGTGAGAAAACATGACCAAATACTGAAACAAGTAAACAGGACAAATTTCCAACTTGCAGTTTGTTGTTGTAGTTGAACTTTGTAAAAACATGACCTGAAGACGCTGGGCTGAAGCAGTACTGTCTTTTACTTTGTGTTATTATGTGTATGAAACAATGAACAAATACTAAGCTGGGAGTGGGTCCAGTCATGTTCAGTCAGTGCACAGAACATTCATGATTTACTGAGATGGAGCAGCTTGGTCGGTGGACTATGCCTTTCATGTCCACAGGGGCAACATGATGAAAAAGAGGGTGGCTTGGCACTGGTATCATCCAGAGGACCAAAGTCAGACTGCTGGACCAAGAGGAGCACAGATACAGTCCACGAGAGGAGACTGCTGAAGCTTGAAGGCAGCCGCTGTGGTAAACTATGATGGATGAAGGAGGATGAGACAAAAGTCTCATTTCTATTTAGAGGCTTGGACGTTTGTCAACACAACCACAAGCATCCTCTTATAAGGATGAAGAGTCGGATCTCCTCCATTTTATGGCTGACCCATACAGTACGTGCTGGACTCACATGCATCATCTTCATTTCTGCCATATATGATCTCTGACCACCTCTGTCTGGACATTTTTCTCTTAGAGAAGTGAAGATTTGAAACTTCAGGGCAGGACCCTTTTGACCACCTCCACTCTTTTATTAACACCTTCTACCAGGGGAAGGAGGCATCTCTTCCTCCACATCTGAGGAGCATCTGTGAAGCACGACATAAGGATGGATAAAAGCATTCAGAGGAACATTTTCAGATTTCCTCCACTGTTTCGCAGCCTCGTACCACCTGGGCCTGCTGCCAGCTTGGCCCCACACCGACAACTGTGATCTTTATTCAGCAGGTCTAGAGCTGTGCTGCCTGCAAACACACACAGTAATGAAGCCACAGATACACACACTTTTACAGACATACAGGTAGACAAACATGCTCATACGGATATACCTCCAGATGTGCTGAGGTCAGGGTCTTTTGCAAATGCATGGTCTCTGGTCTCAGCAACTCCTCAAGCACACATCAGACAGCACGACACACAGCTGCTCTCTCACCTTTGTCCATGTCCAGGATACACTGGTACAGACAGAGACGGACGGGCAGACTGGTGACATCAGAGCATCCCGTGACCCAAGACAAGCAGCAGCACAAGAGGAGAAAGAGGAGCTACAAGGTGGACTGTGCACGAAAACACAAATACAAAGAGCCATCACTCTGAGACAGAGGAGGACACCAGGCTCTGTGACTGGTTGCACAGTCTGGACATCGCAGATAGCAACGAGAAGCACATCACCACTACAAACACCCAGCGGCGGCTATTTGTCTCCAGGTGCAGGGTGGTGACGGGCCCAGAGAGCCAGACAGCGGCAAGCCAGAGGGGAGTCAGACACCCCCATCTCCTCCCTCCCATCTGTCAGTCACACTCTCTCCTCCTTCGTGCCCCCCCCCCCAAGGCAGTACTACCTCTTTCTTAATAACTTTATCTTAATAAAGGGAGTGAGAAATACACATAAATCATTACAACCTGCTGAAACAGCTAAACTAACGGTGGCCTAAGACGTTGGCACAGTATTGTAGGTAATAAATAAATGGTTCAAATCATGAGGTAAAACAGAGGCACTTCTGTGTACAGCTAAAAATAAAAGATAAACAGTTAAATCAGATCAGCTCAACCTTTTCATCTGAGCCTATGGACATTAGCTCGACCAGCCCAACCTAAACACTAACAGCTGCATGGAAACATATTGCAGCAATATCCAATTGTCCATATGTACATCCTGTTTAATCTCAGTCCAGATGGAAACATCAACATGGTGTTGATGTACCTGAGTCAATCTGACACAGCTGTGAAGCTTTGAGGGACGAGTTTATTTCAGACTCCTGTCATGGTCTCATCCCTCCAGCGGAGGGTGATGTCTGTAGAACCGATGGGCAGGGGGGTGTTTGCTGGCCTGTGGCCATCGGGACCTGGACAGAGCTGTGCTCTGTGCTCCTGCTGAGGTGGGATCTGAGCGTTAGGACCAGAACACACCCGCCTCAGTCCTCCTTACCGCTCGCCGTGCTACCCCTCCTGCACATGTTTACCCTCTAACGCAGCCCAAACTGTTTGTGAGTGAGACTCTTTTTTCAAGGCAGCTGGGCCCCCCAGCCCTCTTCCCACCAAATAAACACTGCACCGGAAATTGCAGAGATATCTGGGATGTTTGAGGGGTCCTGGTGGAAAGGAGGAGAACACTAGGACAAAGGTGCTCCCTGTGGCTCCTCGGAGGTGAGGGGAGGGCAAAGACGCAGGAGGGAGGAGGCATCCAGAAGAGAGGGCGTGACCTTGCCTTGGTGGGGGGTCAGTGGGCACCATGTCCACTGATGACCAGGTACAGGTGACCCAGTTTCCTCTGACCCCATCTGGAGCAGCTGGGGTTAAAGGTCAACAGGAAATGATCCAAATTCTGTTGTGCATCTCACAACACACAGCCTCTTATGACTAACTGCTGCTTCGTGCATTCTCATCTCGTCTGTTGCTCCCTGGCTGCACAAGCCTGCAGTGGGAATGAACAGCCACTGATGAAGCTGAGGCCTCGTAAACAGCCACTGATGAAGCTGAGGCCTCGTAAACAGCCACTGATGAAGCTGAGGCCTCGTAACGGCCCCTGACAAAGCATGAACAGCAGGGTGTGTGTCCTTTTCTTGCCTTTGTGTTGGTGAGTTGTGTCCCAGCTCACTCCCCTCAAACACAGACACCTTATTTGATAGCCACAGCCTGGAGGCTCAGCCGGTGGAGACGCACACAGTGTGAAGCCTGCTGTCGAACAGGCCGGGCCATGAAGCTGAGTGCAGCTTGTTTTTATTTCAATTACTGTGAAACTCTGTCCTCAGTCTCCTTATTTGTTCCTGTGCTGCTCTGACGTCTCTCCCTGTGTGTGTCCTCACCACTGACCTGCAGCTAGGATACTTCTTGTGCGTACATTGTGTTTCGATTGCAGTCAGTTAGACCAAATGCAAATTTTTATATCTATGGGAAAACAGGTGTCACACAGCTACACACCATGTTTACATGCAGATGAATGTGCAGCCACTCGTCCTGGCAGGAGTATGAAGAGCATAAATATAGGAAATGCTGACAGGAACGTGTCTGGAGGGACGCACGTGTACGGATGTAGTTGAGGATGGGCTGGCACACCTGTCACTGTGTGCATTGTGTGTGTATCTTACGTTTTTTATGTCGACAATAGAGCTCCTGTTCTTGGTTTAACTATGTTGACAATAGAGCTCCTGTTCTTGGTTTAAAAATTATTTTAGGGACTAAATTCTTCTCATTCCCTTTGTTAGTGTCCTGACCTCCAAACAAACTGTGCACTGCATGATTTTCAGTCACCATGTCAGAAAATGCCTGAAAGACATGACATATGGGTGACAACTAATTTACTATCATAGTTTTCAGCCAAAGCTGTTAAGGCAACACAACAACGTGTTATTACATGTTGTGTTGTCAACATACGTCCCTCGTTGGTCCCTGAGATGATTAAGGCAAAGACGTAACAGTGGTAAAGAACATAAGACGCTGCAGGAAACAGAAGGGAAACTGAAACTGTTGGCTCAAAGCGCCACTGTGCAGGTATAAGGACTAAAGAGTGGGAGGGTTCGCAGCAGCTCTCCTAAACAAACACTCTGCACCTGTCTTCCTGTCGCCTGCTCTTCATCCCCCCTCATGAATAAACACACTCACAGACACACAGGCCTGACAGCAGAACCTCCACTTTCCTGCTAGACTCATGCTGTTGTGCTCTGTGTGGCAAAGAATCAGAAGTGGAACCACGGCGCTCATGCTATGTTCTTCTTTGCTCAGTATGTCCTCATGCACGTGCCTCTCTCTAATGTCCAGACAGTTTGTCATGGATGGGTCAGGACACACTGGGCCCCTGGACCTTTCTCCATATGACCCCCAGGCTACTCTCCCTGTAGTCGTTTTGTGTGTCTTTGTGGTTACTTAAAGTGTCTCTTCTGTCATTTTACTGATTTTCAACAAGTGGTAACTGTGAAGCCTCTGGGCCCAGTAGGCCCAGTAGGCCCAGTTGGCCCAGTCAGTACTCCCTTCAGCTTGTGTGTCTGTAGTTTATTTCCACTGACTTCTTTCTGAAGCTTGTTTCTCTTCCCCTACCACCCCCCACTCCTCTGACTCAGTGACAGGGAGGTTTTCCAGTGAACTCTAAAAGCAGACTTGTGTCATTTTCACCATTATGAGGTGACGCTCACTGTCAGCTCACACCGTAAAGGTCATCGCACAAGTCCTCATGCAGAAGCCGCCCAGAGCTCATGAATGCTTCTGCTCTGATGTGTTGGAAAGTCTGCATCTTTGTTTATTGTGTCAGGGGTGGAAGCCGCCGGGGCCAAAGTGGAAACGACACATTCTTTGATGAGTTCATGGAACTTAAACATGAAAACAACAAAAACATATTGTCCTTCTGTGAGCGTGCGTGCACACACACAGCTTCAGTGTCTCCAAAGGTTTCTTGCTTCATTTTCTAACGATGTGCTGGGCTTGTTTCCACAGCCTGTTACACCACCTCCTCCACCGGCAGAGAGATGGACAGACGTTTGGTGAATGTGCAGATCTCTGTGTATGTGTGGGAGACAGACTGTACATGTCAGGCCCCTTCGCTCTCTGCGCACTATTGTGATGTAAGAATTTTAAATGAATAAACTTTTGCAGCAACAAGTGGGATAAACTTCCCAAGTCCAGGTGAGACTCACCCAAGAAGACTTGAAGCTGCCAAAGGGGTGTGTCCGCAAAGTCCTGGATTAAGTTGCAATGCTTTTATAAACAAGAAATTTCAGGTTCTGATTTGTAATAGTTTGCAAAAATGTCTAAAAACAAGTTTCACTTTGTCATTATGAGTCACTGGGCTGCCTAACGATTTATAAACTGTATTCTCTATCAGCTTTATTCCCAGAGACCTGACAACACAAAAACATTCATAGTCTGCACAAACACAACCAGTGAACGAAACAAACAAAATAATAAAAGTGATGTGAATCACACACAGATAATAAAACCTTAAACCCACCAAGAGAAATGAAGAAGTCTAATCTGTAGCAGTTGACCTCATTTAAAAGTCCATATAAATTATAACACATAGCTTTGATTTGCACCTTCTAGCCTGCTGGTAGGTGCAGATTACCCCCTCTGAGGCATAATCACAGGCGTGATATCAGCCATTTAATGGAGTGATAATATTAATGTCCTCTCTGGGGATCAGTGAAGGTTTATCTTGGATGTAAGAGGATGTCAGGATGCACTTCTTCTGCTGCCGGGTACATGTGTGTTTGTGTGCACAGACCTACTGACGAGCACTCTACATATGACCATTTAATGCAGGGGGTGATTTCCAGAGGATGAAGGCAGGTGCCAGCTTCACCGGCTTAATGACACGTCTTAGGGAAACTGCAAAGGAAAACAACACTTTCACCACCCACGGCCCTTCTCAGTGACGCTGAACAAGCAGCCCAGTGCGAGTGTCTGTGTCTCCGGTGAACAGTTTAATGCAGTGTCTGAGTGTGTAAAAGTGGGATTCTCACACACAGGATCAGTGCTTTAGCTACCGGCTCAGGTGCTGAGATGGCCAGTTTCCCGTGTGTGAATCTGCGGGGATGACGGGGAGATTAGCCAGGTGGTCCTCACCACAGCTCCGCACTCCTCAATGACAACTTTGAGGCAAGAGGACTAACATCTCGTCTGTTTACATGCTGGCTGTACATGTGTGTGCTGACCTGGGGAGGAGCTGACGGGGTGTGGGATAAAGACTTTTTTGGAAAGAGAGCGGTGACGTGCAGGGGGAATTGTTTCTAACATCACTATCACCCAGTCATGTAAAGAGCACTCTGCTGTCTGTGCACCAGTGTCAGATGGGGAAGAGTTCAGATTCTTTAACAAGTACTGTTAAAATATGTCCTCATTTGAAAATGTTACCTAATTATAAGTCTGCGTGTACAGTCAGGAAAATGTACTTTAAGTACTGAAAGTAAAAGTACTCCTTATTGAAGTATATTAGTGGTGGAAGGTAACTGAGTCCATTTAGTTAACTGCTGTACTTAAGTACGGTTTGGAGGTATTTGTACTGTACCTGAGTATTTCCATGTCCTGCTCCTTCATCCTGTGACTTCACTCCATTTCAGAGACAAACCGTGTACTTTTTACTGCACTACATGTACCTGTATGTGACATGGGCCTTTCTGCCGGATGAGTTCTGCTACCGTTGGTACTTCTAGTAGATTTGGATGCTGATACTTTTGTACTTTTACTGAAGTAATGTTTTGAATGCAGGACTTCTAACAAAGTATTTTTATTACTAAATTTACTTAAATAAAGGGTCTGAGTACTTTATCCACCACTAATTATCTCATTAAATGATTATTAGTCCTGCTAACCTGGAGTTGGTTGAAGAGGGTTTTCATCATTTTACACAAGACAACGATCGTTTACATTCTGTTGTATTACGGTGTTTGTACAACCATCTTGTCCCAGTTGTCACTTAATTAGCTCGTCATCTCAGCTTTAATTGTATGTGCAGTTTTGCTACAGCCATCAGATGCATGTAGTGCAGTAAAAATACACAATTTTCCTTTGCAATGTGGCGTGAACTCCGTTAAAGTACAAGTATCTCAGATATGTACATAATTATGTACTTTGTTACACTCCACCACTGACGTGCATGTTATCTCTCCAGCTATTGTCATAAAGCAGGAGGATATTTCCCACATTTCCCATGGCTGCTCCCAGTATGAACAAGCAGAGACTAGCAGCTGAGTATGTTTATCGGACTCTTCACAGATTCCTACGTGAGAACTTCAAAGCACCAAAAACATTATTTTTATCCAAACATAAATAAACACCAAAAGCCAGGTCCTCTCTGTGAAATGTAGTAACTATGAATTTTTATGAATGAGTGCATTCATGGTCGACCACGCCCCCAAAGCAGACCACACCCACCTGAGCTGCCGGCCCAAGCCGTGCCCCTCGCATCCTGATTCGTTCAGGGGCGGGGAGTGGGCGGGGCTTGCATAGAGAGCAGAGCGCTGGTATAAAAGTGAGGCTCAATCTTATCCCAGTGAAAATGTTGAGGTGATGGGGAATATGAGAGGATCACCGTGCACGTCGGATTTAACCTGCTGAGGACTTAATGATTGTTTTATCTGCTGTGCTGAACATTTTCTTCTCTTCTGTGTGAATCAGCTGGCACCATGGGGATACTGCTTTTATGTGCTGTCTTGCAAGTAGTGACAGTCGGCTTGGTAAGTGTGAGGTTTACTGGCTTCATGTAACCACTGAGGAATAAAGAGCCTGAGTTCCTCATCTGACCTTAGGAGGATGAGAAGAACAGGTTCACACTCCCTGTCTGAGCTGCTGTGGCCTGGTCAGAACCTAGAATCTGCTGTCCATCTCGTCCATGTTAGCAGTGCATGTGAAAGTAATGCTGCGGTATTCACTGTTCAGGTCCTCACATGCTAATACAATGCTCCATGGCTCAGTGTGCAGGGCAGACTGGTTTCCAGAGTGGGCTCTGGGTACTACCAGGGGACCTTGAGGAATGTGTCAGGGGGTCCTCAGCAAAAAAGAGGCAGGGTAATTACACACTTCCTACTTCCAGTGATGGAAGAAGTATCAATACAGTCAAATGAAAATACTCTAAGACAAGTCCTGCACCGAAAATGTCACTCACAGAAAAGTAGTATCTACAAAATGTACTTAAAAGATCCAAGGTACAAGTACTCATATTGGAGAGGAAATAGTATTTATTATATTATTGGATTATTATCATTACAAAAGTATAAGTAGCATTTTACTTTAGTTTGAGCTACTTTATTTTGGTTTAATCTGATGCAATGCAGCTTATTTAATGAATTGTTTTTAGTGTGATATCAGAATCTGTGACTCAAGATGTCAAATAAATGTAGTGCGATACAAAGTAAAGAAGTCCTCACTGAAATGTAGTGAAGCAGCATGAAATATTGGTAGCCTAGGTACTTTAGTAAATGTAGGCCTACTTCGTTTCACTCCACCACTGCCTGCCTAAAGTAACGAATTCACCCATTCTAAGCGACAGTAACATTACCCAGCAGTTAATAGAGGTAAAAATACATTTCAGGTCAATATGAACTCGGTGCACTCTCTAAATATCTACAGGAATATTATGGGACTTTTGGCTGGGGATGTTTCCGGCACCAAGTTATACCCAGTGATGATGCTAAAATTGGAAAGGTATTGTCACTGCACTGTGTCATGTTGTGGCCACAACAGTGATGGGACATATCCCAGATGTTTTTATAATCCATGGTGGGACGCCAACACCTGGCCTGGGTTCAGACAGTGACAGGATCTGACCATGGAAAGTCCAGACCGGCAGCTCCTGTGATGTCCGAACCCACTGGGAGGGTTTAGAGAGGCTCTGGTGTGTTTGTGTGGAGTGGGAGGGGGTGGAGCTGCAGGGTTTGTGGGTCAGAGGATGCCCCTTTCATTTCACTCGTCCGGTGAATGCCAGAGGGAAGACGACACAGGACTACAGATATCCCCGTGGGGCTGGGACAGTGCTGCTGAGGACTTCTCCTCCTCCTCCTTACTCAAGCTGGTTTTTTAATATTAACAAATGCCCTTTCCGGCCTGTAGGTGGCTGCAAGCTGCCCGGTGGTGTGCGAGTGTCCCGCAGGGCCCCCATCTTGCCCCCCAGGAGTCAGCTCTGTCCCGGACGGATGTGGCTGCTGCAAAGTGTGTGCTGCTCAGCTCAACCAGGACTGCCGGGAGGGACGGCCCTGTGACCACCACAAAGGCCTGGAGTGCAACTATGGCAACGATGTGGGTCGTACCCACGGCATCTGCAGGGGTGTGTACCATACGGGGGAAGGCAGGGGAGGAGGGAGGGGTTCAGTGGGGGAATGTGTAGCTTCAGGGTGGGGGCTTCCGAGCTTTGATAGGGGCTTGAGGCCATGCCACACTTCAAAAGCAGAGCACCTTCATGAGCTGCGACTGAAAGCTGGCCAGCTCCGGGGTTTATACAAGTCGCTCAGTGTGTACACAGCGGCCCAATGAGACACACAGGCAGGCACACACAGAGGCATTACGGCTGTTTCTATATAAAGGGGTGTATCTGGGGTGTTGTGTGGGGAGTGTGGGGAGTCCCACTGAGGGAAGGACATGGTAAACAAGTCAAAAGTCCTCTCTGGTCTAAGAATAGAGCTCGCTTCATAAACCTGGAGACAGTGTGTCTTTCCCTTTCTTCATATCCAACTTCTATGCATGTTAAACATTTAAATACGAGCTTCTTCCCGTGTTTGTTCTTCCTGTCACTTCACAGATTTCCCTGGAGGTAGGTTTTTAACTCGTCTGTCTTCTTCCCTCTTTTCAGCAAGGGCAGAGGGCCGCTCCTGTGAATACAACGGGCAAATTTATCAAAACGGTGAGAATTTCCGTGCTGGTTGCAAGCACCAGTGCACCTGCATCGATGGAGCGGTGGGCTGCATGTCCCTGTGTCCCAGCCACGTGCCCCTGGCTTCCCCTTCCTGTCCTGCCCCACAGTTGGTCAAGGTGCCAGGCCAGTGCTGCCTCAGCATTTACTGCCGCAAGGGAACCACCGTTGTGCCACCAGCACACCAAAGACCCCAGTCTCCAGCTTACCTGCCTCACCCCTTCACTCCCCACCTGGCCTCCCCCTACCCAAAGCCTTATCCAAAACTCTACCGGAAGCTGTACCCCTACAAACCCAAGAAGGAGGAGGACACCCTGGGCAACGAGCTGCTGGAGGTGGGGCGCAAATGGGACAAGGCTCGTGGAAACAAGCACCTGGCGGGTAAGAGGGTGTTGCCTCAAAATGCCACCCAATTCCTCCGCGCAGTAAAGCATCCCGTTTATGTTTGAGCCATTTTAGGCCCTGACGCATAAACGGCCTCACTGTGCCTCTCCCTCTGCATCTGTGTGTCAGCATTTATGAGAGGCTTGTTTTCCACTGGCTCCTTGCACGCCTGAGGTGCTCTCACACAGCACATGCCTCTGTCACCAGCTCTCCCCTCGCTGTAATCACCCTCACTATGCGTCAGTTTTGCCTGTGCAGTGAATGAGGCCAGTGTGTGTTGCATCTCTGTGCCTCTGCTTTCCCCTCTCTCTCTCACACACTGGACCTTTCCTGGTTTTCCTTCGGCCGGTGTTGCTTCTGTCTCTGACTCTCCATGTTTGTCCCTCACACACCCTCTCTTTCATCTCTCCTAGCCTGGAGGCAGGTGGGAGATCAGTGTGCGGTTCAGACTACTTCCTGGTCTCAGTGTTCTCGGAGCTGTGGGATGGGCATCTCCTCTCGTGTTACCAATGACAATGCCCGCTGTAAGCTGATCAAGGAGACCCGTCTGTGCAACGTCCGGCCATGCAGCTCCATGTCTGTGCCTGTCAAGGTGAGGAATGTGTTTGGTGCTTTTAAGATTCCTACAAAGGGATGGATTACTCCCTCTAATGACCCAAAGCCATGTGGCACAGCCACCATACTAAATAAACTGAGGAAAGGATTTCAGCGCCCACCCTGAAACCAGCTGGAGCTGGAGCTGTTTCTGTCTGCTCACAGTTCTGTTGCTGCAGGATGGCGAGCTGAATTAGACCCAGAGGATTTGATTATCAAAGCATGCGTAACACAAGATCTAAACCTGTGTGTAGGAACTGTCTGTATAAACAAGCAAACTAGAAAATTGACACACAGCTTCACACACTGAACAAAGATAAACCTCACCGCTTTAAAATCCATCTGCTCGTGCACGTACAGGCTCATGTACACGGTGAAACGCCTCCAAAATGCCAACAGAAGACCACAGCCCTCCGGACGTCCTAATGTGTAGAGTGACTTGTTGTAGACAAAAGCAGTAAACCAGAAAAATAAATGACAAACATCACAATGAGTTTAAGGCACTAGAAAGAATCTGTAGCATTCTCAGAGCAGGCCCATGGGAACGTTTCCCAGCATGCACCACATGGATTGACATGACTTGACTCACCGACTAAGACTCATTTCTACTATATTTAGTGAGGTTCACTGAGAAGCCACCTTTCTTTAATAATAATAACCACCTTTATTGGCCAAGTATGTTACACACAAGGAATTTGTTTCCGGTACAGAACCGAGGAAGCCATCTGTGGCACCAACTCAACCGATGGCTCTAACCATTGGGGGCAACTTGGGGGTTCAATGTCTTGCCCAAGTACACTTCGACACATGGACTGGAGGCACCGTTATTCAAACCTCCAACCCTCTGGTTGGGTGACAGCTGCTCTACCCACTGAACCACTGTCACAGAAGCTGCCTGGTACAACCGAGCAGCTCTACTGGAGCCAGTTAGCTTAGCGCAAACAATAGAAACAGAGGAAAGCAGCTAGCCTAATTCTGTCCAAAGGTTAATCTCAGCACCTCTAAAGCTCACTGATTAACATCTTAGTTTTTGTTTAAAACTGAGGTGGAAAAATGACTTTGACATTGTACAGGGTCTTGTGCCAGACCATTTCTTGGAGTCTCCACTGAGCCAAGAAATGGTCTGGAGCATACTTTTGTCTCTGATAGCCTAACTTTAAAACCCAATGTATGCAACGCACTTCACTTTGTCAACTTTTCATTTTAAATACCTGAAAATCACTTTGCTGAAAACATGCCGCTGTGCTTCGCAGCTCTCCCACACTGCCCGCTGCACTCAGTGGCTCTGTGCTGGGAGATTTTAAAGAGCACTCTAGTCGCCCAGTCCACTGGTCTCTCACATTTCAAACAATGCCCTCAGAAACATAAGCCACTCATGAGGCCGATGGCTCGCTGCACACCTGGTTCACTGCTCTCCCGATGCCTGCAGAGCTGCCATGGGCGTCGATGTGCATCAGTGTCAGTCCATCGCTGCTGTTGGCATGTTCCTCTCTCACCTGTTGTTCTGACCTTTATTTTTTTCTGTCTCTGCACTTACTGTAACCGCATCAACTTTGGTTTATACAGTATGTCTGGGTTTGACTAATGATTTATTTCATGCTGCAGTGTGACCTGAACTGCAGCTGTGATTCCAAGGAAATGGGAATGTGATCCTGAAATTAGTGCCAATTAGAAAATGTCTAGGATTGTGAACACTGCGAACATTATACCTGCCAAACACCCCCCTGTTCGCGTGCTGACCTTAGCATTTACAGGCTCACTACTAGGGTTGTAGACTTTCACTAGAAACTGAATTTACTTTCTCCCTTCACAGAAAGGAAGGAAGTGCTCTCGTACCCACAAGGCCCCCGAGCCACACCGCCTGTCCTACGCCGGCTGCAGGAGCACTCGTCTCTACAGGCCCAACTACTGCGGCGTATGCAGGGATGGTCGCTGCTGCTCACCTCGTCGCACACGTACAGCCAGCGTGACCTTCACTTGCCCTGATGGCGAACGCTTCAACAGGTCTGTGATGTTCATCCAGTCCTGCAAGTGCAATGACCAGTGCAACCATTTCAATGAGGCTGCC